AAGAGGTAATGTGAGGTAGAAGACTCGCTGCTCTTCCATCCAAAGATGTACATTTCTTATTATAACGCGGGAGAATAATGTGCGCCGAATTCTCCCTCTCTCGCCACACTTTTTTCCTTCTCGTAACACTCGTCCCTCTTTTTTCTTTTTCTCTCTTTTTTTTTCCTTCTCTCAGCCTTCCTCTCTTTCTCTCTTCCCCTTTCTTTCCCTCTGAAGACTAAACTTTTTCTCTTTTTGTACCGAGATATACGTATACGCTCTTGCAGAAATACACGGGCAGCCAATGTACGGCGCGTTCCCTCCGTTCCTGACGGGCACATATACCACGAAGAGCGGGGAGTCCCCGCGAGCCACGAGAAATATTCGACAATTTTTAAACTCGTTCCTGAACACGCGGGCATTCAAACGTGCGCGCAGCCTTGCAGTCAGCAAGTAGGAATTTCTGAGAATCTGGCCTGGTCCTGGTAGGGTGCACCGAACGCTGGATGACGCGTGTGATAGATGTTGGTGGGATTAGGACACTCGACGCTCGGAGGACACTCCGGTTTCGGGCAATGTGACACATGATTTGTTATCGTTCTGTGATCGGCTCCGTGGCGTCTAATAAATCAACGAAAAGCAGCCGCAATGCGCCTTCATTCTTATTTCGTTAATATGGTCTAGTTGTGTATTAAATACAATTATCTTTTCATATGTCACTCATCTCATGCTGCACAATATTTTTTAAAAAAGAATTGAAGCTATTATCACTTGAGTTGTAATAGAATAGGAAAATCCCCCCTCCTCTTTCAATACGAGTACAAAGTATATATATATATATATAGCAAATTCATATGCAGACCGGTATTATTACAGCAACATTGTAATATTCCAACAATCTTGAAATAACATTTCAAGTATCTATTTATATCCATCTCAATCTAATGTTCGTTAGACGGCATGATAATGTTTGTAAAGAGGTTTGTCGTCCACGGTATTCGACATGCCCAAATAACAAAATTTAAATACATCCTGGCAAGAAATGCAAACGCGACCGCTTGAAAGTGTTTTAACTGTAGAATTATTCGTTTAGGTAAAAAAAGGGTGTGGGGGGGGGGGGGGGAGAGAATGGCGCGGTGTGTGCGCAGTTTATTTTCATCTCTCGTGTGTGCGCATTACCTCGGGAGATAATTATCGCGAGCAAGGATTGGTCAACCGAATTACGTCTCGCGTTCAATATTTTCTTGCGTGCCGCGGCCGTTTCGAGTCTTTTAGGAGAGCTATGAACGCGCACGCCGAGGTAAATGCTTATACGCGTCTCCCGCTTTGCCCGCGGCCAGGCCGCGCTTTTTGCATATGCGTATTGCGATCGGACCGATAGTTTTTTTTTTACGTCGACCATTCTTTCCTCTCCCGCGCTCTCCTTTTTTTTTTGCCCTCTCTCTTTTATTTCGCGGCATACCTATACGCGCGCTCATCGGGCAACCAGTTTTCGGTCGCGCGGGAGAGTACCATAGGTCGACGAACGGCTTGCTCATAACTCGCGGTATGTGTATCAGAAGTCATTCTGGTATGTGCGACTCCTCTGGCAACGTGAATGTGAACCGTATTATTTAGAATGATAATACCACCAAGAATACACGGTCGGTAATGAAACGGTTGCCTGTGGAAGAATGTACACCGCAGCGATCATCCACAGCTATAGTATCGACGGAATCTGACTCGTATGGAAAGCTGAGATTAGAACCTCGTGCAGATTTCTAGGGCAGTCTGTGATCCATTAAGATTTGTTGAGCTTTGAAAAATTCGATGCAACTTTTGAATTTTTACAATATAAATATCAAAGAAATTGCGAAGTAAGTCGACGTAGGATGTTTTGTAAAAATTAATAAATATATATAACTGAGTATATTAGTTAATTCTAAATATGTACATCAATATATAACATCTTTGTAAAAGATTAACGAAATATAAATTTAAAAAAAAAAAAGATTTTAAAGCTTGAAATCTTTACTTTCGAAAGGTTATTATATTTTTTGAGTTCCTATGAGTTTGGTAATTTTTACATATAAAAAACTATGAACTAAAAAAGATAAAAAATTTTTTTCACTTTGTGGGTCTTTACAGCTCAAAAAAAAAGTTTGCGAAAATTTTCAACTACCTATCGTGAAAGCTTGAAGCTTTTATTTCAAAATCGTTTTTTAAAAACATTATGATTACCGTGTCAACTATGAAGTTAAAATTAAAACGAATCATAAAATTTAGATATGTGTGAAATGATATATATAGTACTTAATGGTAATTGCAAAAGAAACGTTATTCTGACTTACATGATAAGCGCTCCCCCACCTCCCTTGACAATTCATGCGGAGAACTTGACATAGAGAATATTCGATAACATGTGGTACAAATATAATAAACGTTATATAAAAGGTTGAGATGAGAGAGGGAAGTATCAAATCCTTGAAAATAAATCAACATACATTGGATTGAGAGAGATTCCGTGTAGTTTTTAATATTTAAACCATTCTTTTGTTTCTTAATGTGGATCATTTCCGAAGTTAGTCTTTTAAATAAAAATTTTTCTTTATCCAATACTTTAACATTTTCCCATTCAAAATCTTGATTAAATTCCAGTCTATGAGCAGTTATGACAGAATGTTGTGTTGTATAAATCACAATGATGTGATTTTTATGTTCGTTAATGCGTGTTTTTAATGTTCTCTTTGTTTGCCCTATGTACGATGTATCACAATCCTTGCAATCTATTCTATACACTATATTAGATTGCGATAGAATAGGTAGATTGTCTTTTTAAACTCTAATGTTTAACTTATTTATACCTTTGTAGGCCATGTTAATGTGTTCATCGTTTTAAAAAAAATATTTTATTTTTTCTGAAATGTTGGGTATAAAGGGTATTGTAAAAAATCTGCGTTTTTTATTCTCGTTATTTTTGTCATTATTATTATTGTTATTCATTGATATATTGTAAAATTGATTAAATTTCTGTTTCATTTGACATTATGCTCGGCTGAAAATGAAGCGTTCTTTATATTCTTTTTTTAATTACATGTTTTTTATGTTTGCTTATGATGACTAAAACCAATAGCCGAAACGTTCAATTATGTAATTCCTAGACTATATTAAATTATAATTTAGAAAATATTTCTTGCGCATTTCTTCTTTTACCGCGCTGATTCCAAATTAGCCCCTTAAAATATTGTTTATATTTTAGTTGCTTATAATTCCGTTAAAAATCATATCAATTAAGAAATCAGATCCTTAAAGCTGAAACTTTGCTCTATCAAATGGTATAATTGCAAATTTTTTATGTACAATTTTGAGCTTTGAGAAATTTAATTTAATAAATGAGATTTTCTCAAAACAGAAATGGAAAACAGAGATAGAAATCTCGTGCAAATTTCTGGATCAGTGTTTGTGACCTATTAAGATGTCTGCAATATTTAGTCCGAAATTTGATGCAACATTTGAATTTACAGTATTTTGCAAATATTTTGTTATTACAGCATATTTTGCACTAACTAAAAATTATATTGATGTAATAAGTTACTTAAAAAAATAAACAATTTTTCTACAACAAATCTCAACACTCAATAATTCAATTGAAATTTGATCAATGTACATGAGTAATAAATGCGCTATGGTTTGATTTAATTTTGATTTAATTTTATCAAGCGACGCGGTAGAGTCCATTTTTATTATGCCAAGAACATAAAGTCCCGAGACACAGTAGTGTTTAGTATACATATATTACATTATAAAACTGTTCAACCGCTTGACCCGTGAACATGTTTGTGTCATTGTCAAATTCGTGACGTTACTACCAGTTTTATCTGGAGTTTTGACTTCGACAAGTTTTAAATTAAAATTTTACTCAGAAACTAAAACCGCGATCAAAAATCTAAAAACATTATTATATAATGTCATCGGTATCTTTCCATTGCGACCAGTCCGAATAAAATTAGTACAGCTGATACCGAAATTTGAAGATCAAGTCCTGAAAAGAAACCATTTCAGATTTTCATTCGATTGTATAATACGTGTAACACACACATAAGGCGCTTTTTTTTGTACTCGCATTGCACATATGAGTTTATAACTTTAAATATGTTTCCATGACTACGATTTAATTAAATCAACAAATTCATGAACGCATGAATTTGTGTGATACGGATATAATCCAGTCACTTTAGAACAAAAAAGGGCGTAAAAAAGAAAAAATTCCAACCAAGCTATAAATTGGTAAATATCTTCATTGAGGCGAGAGAAATGATGTCTGAAAAGTTCTCAACGTTCGCTTGTACGCTAAGCCTTTTATCGAGCGTAGAAGGGTTGAAATTTTGGTTTTTCGCTGTTATCTTCTTTCCTATCAATTTTACGGCCAAAGTAGGTCTATAATAAAAGAAAGATGATAAAATTCTCTACAAAATTCTCTAATGGTCGTACTTCGTACGACCAATAGTTCTCGAGATAGTTTTTTTTAAGTGACCTCTTATTTTTTAGCGTTACGTAAATTTGTTCTGTCTTCGCGGATATCTCAAATTTGGGTACATCTACGTGCAAAACGCACATAACAAGATCGAAAGAGTATTTAATTACCTACAAAATGGGATTTTATTGAATGTCGTACTCGCGGGATAGGTTTTCATCCGTGTGTGTGCAATAAATGACTGACGGGCGGGCGAATGTCAATTTGCAGTGTTATCTAGTTTTTTTTTCCGAGCACTAAAATTTAATTACTTTCAGTCTATTTTATGTGTCTTGCGTTATGAAATACTTGGCTAATTAGTATACATTTATTTTGTATCCGATTTTTATTAAGAAGAATATAACATTCGATACCTTTTTTATGCACTTGACGCATATATTTCTTCTTTTTTAAAGAATTTTTTTAGGATAAATTATTTCATATTATAAAATATTATCTCGCACACGTTGATGTACATACAAGTTGTTTTACTTTAATAAATTAAATCTTCCCTCATTTGTGTTTGCAGCCTTGCCCAGGCAGAGTATGTCTCCGGTGGCGGATTCTATGATGAGTGGTACCAGGACATCCACAGTGTCCCAACCAATCACCGATTATTCCCGATACATGATAAGATATGCATCCAGTCAAGAATGCGGCTGTACGTACTGCATGGAACTGGGTTGTAGGGAGCATTTTCATTGTCTGGACTGTAGCGGAAGAGTATTTGTGAAGAAGGAGGAAATGATCAGGCACTTCAAGTGGCATAAGAAGAGAGATGAGTCCTTGCAACATGGATTCATGAGATATTCGCCGACGGACGATTGTTCGGAAAAGCACCCTGGTCGATCCTGTCCGCACAATAGAAAGCAGACCCACTATCATTGCATTCACGAGAATTGCGACAAGGTGTACATATCGACATCAGACGTGCAAATGCACGCGAATTACCATCGCAAAGATTCGGCCATCATACAAGAGGGCTTCCAGCGATTTCGGGCCACCGAAAGTTGCGCGACTGATCATTGTCCGTTTGTTGGACAAAGGACCACGCACTTTCACTGTCGTCGACTGGGATGTCGGTTTACGTTCAAAAATAAAGCCGATATGGGTATGGAATGAATGCTTGTGTAATTAATATTCGGACAGCGGACGTCGTGATACTCGCATGCACGGCTGATGCAGGGTCAAATGTGATCCAAGAGTGATATCGTTTTGAAACGTTTGAAAAGTACTTTTTTTTATTATAATATATAGTAAATTATTTTATATATTGAGAGTGTATAAGATGAAATAAAAATACACATTTATCATAGAAACCAATATTAATTTATTTTTTTTCACAGTTAAAAAACGTAAACAACTAAGAATCGCCCATGCTCTATATCGTGATTATCATCAACCAAATCCTGAAAATTCTTATATGTCAAGTGTTTCAGATTTAATTGGCATATCGAGAAACAATTACGTTGATAAATTTTTATTTATCTTATTTTATATTTTATGTAGACTAATCGAAGACAATACAAACTCTGATACATTTAACTCGTTCGAATATTAGTTGATACATTTAACTCAAACTGATAAACGTGAATTACCAGAAAGTGTTTAACTGTAATAATTATGGTGGATATCGATGTTTTTTTTGAACGCTTCATGTGCGGCGCTGCCGCTTGATCGTCTGTCGCTCTTTCTTCTCTTCCATTTTTCATGTTTTATGTACATGCGCATTGTCTGTACCTAGTTCTAATTTTAGATAATTCTATTTCTTGTATGCGTGTTTACATCCGCTGTAAATGAAAAGGGATCAGTCTCTAATTAGAAGGTTTCTAATGCCTGGTTTATGCTTCAGGTCTTAATCCCAAGATCCTAAAATTCAACCAATAAAGTTGCCAGTTCGAAATTTGAACTCTATTGGCTAAATTTTAGGATTAAGATCTTAAGACCGAAGCATAAACCAGGCATAATAATGTTTCAAATTTTCATGATTTAATCTACAAGGTTTCTTTTTTCTTTTTCAGACAAGCACAAGTCTTATCACATCAAGGACGAGCAACTGTCGCGCGATGGTTTCAAGAAGTTCATGAAATCGGAAACCTGCCCTTTCGATCAATGTCGATTCTCCCGGGTTTGCAATCACATTCATTGTATACGACCGCACTGTAGTTACGTTCTGCATTCGTCCGGTCAGCTCTTTTCACACAAGCGAAAACACGAACGTCACGAGTCAGAAATGGCTTATAGGAAGTACAAGCAGGTCACTGCAGTAGGTGGTATTCGTCCACCTGGATCATGGGCGCCGGACGAATTGAGCACTCAAAGTTTATCTTTAAGTCTGAACGGTGAGAGCTCAAACGAAGACAGAGGTTCTCCGTCGTACTACTCTTTAGAAGATTCATTTCAAAGCGCGAACGATCTCGCTATGGATCTCACCGCTCCGACCACGACCATTACGGCCAGCGGAAGTTCCGTTAATCTCGATCAGCAGCAACAATCTCAACAACTCACCGCCGCCGAATTAGCCTATCTGGTACCGGCCACCTCGGATTGCGCCTGTAACGCAAGCAGAGAACACCATCATTGTGGATTAGACCGCTGCGGAGCGATCTTGAAGGATCCCCGGGAAGTAAGAGAACACCTAAAGGAACATGAGACGCAGGAACGCATAACGGACGCTTTCTTTGAAGAGGGCGGTTGCGATGACAGTTGTCCGTACGCGGACAAAGAAAAGCATTATCATTGTAATTGGGAGAACTGTCGAGAAGTGATACTTTCCACTGACAAGCCGTTTCGTAGATTGCAGCATTACAAAATTCATGAGTATAGCCGGCAATTAAATCTTTCTTGTTCCTCGCACGCTCTTTCCTCTGATATCACGTTAACTCATCTGACGAATATAGACGCGATGTTCAGACGAAAGCGTGGTAGACCTCCTAAAAATCGCGTGATAGAAATTTGGTCAGGCGGCGACCCCGCGACACACACTCACGATTCGCCGCAAGCGATCTTCACGAGTTTTAAGCTCCCCAAACCGCAAACTCCTAATTTAACATCTAATATGCTAATGGATGATCGAGAGAGCAGCGTGTCGCCCTCGAACAGTTTGGGCGAGCCTGATGGATTTGCTACGTACAATTCAGAAGGATGTCCGGACACGGCCTGCGTGCTCAGATCAACCAGGCATCATCATTGTACGCAGTTACGATGTCATTTTTCCACTGATCGGCCAGACCAACTACTCATGCATAGTAAGGATTTCCACGATAATGTCGACATACCGCCAGGCTTTGCCTTCTATGACAAGATGGTCGACTGTCGATTGGCTGGCTGCCACAGTAATCGCGTTAATCGGCATTTCCATTGTACTAGACCGAATTGCGGGTACTCGTTTGTTAGATATTCAACAATGGCATTACACGAGAAGCAACACTCCTCCGGTCATGTCGAGTCCTGTGGTCAAGAGTCGAGCAATCAAGAATGTCAAACGCACCTTCAATCTTTGGTCCACGAGACGAAACCTAGAATCCAGGTGAAAAATCCTGCCGAGTTAATCGAGAAGCCTGACGAGAGTCTGACAGTTGCTGATCAGGAGAACAGATTGATAATCGAGGACAAGGAATCTGAACTTGCGAGTCCCGACAGCGGTAAGACTACCGGTAAGTATGAAAAAAAAAGTGTACTGATCAGTGCACCCTAATGTTTGGGCAAGTTTTTTTTGTTCAACAATAATTTTTTTTTTAAGAACACATCAGATACTTTCTTCTACTCAAGTACATATGCATGTTTTCTTGCACGTAGTCGCACACCAATTTATGTGTCACATTTTGCGTTTGTCGTTGAAGTAGGATATTCTTAGCTATTCTTTCGTTGTTTTGTCTCACAAGTCTTTGTTTTATTTTCTCATGTATATATACTATATACACGGTGGTTGTATTCATAGCGGGCTGTATATTTGAAGTGTTGGTTGTTTGGTTGATTGTTGCTAGTGGTGAGGGCGGCTGGCACCTATTATCCGGTTAGCGGACCGCCGAGCGAACCCGCACTTCCGGGCGTTGTGCTATCCATGCGAACTTCCGTGCACCAAGGTTCGTCTCTCTCTTTTCGACCAAGTTTTATGCTTTTGAGAGTGTTTCTATATTAGTAAATTAGTTCTCTTACGTCTGTCGCGTTTACGGACGTACAGTTCAAGCTTAGAGAAATTTTTGACATTGCAGAATCGCCGATCATGCCGTCTATGAGCACTACCTCGCCGCACACTCTATATGGACCGGAACAAAGCTGTAGCAGGCCGTTCTGCAAGTTGAAACGCAAGAATCATTATCACTGCAACGCGTGTAATCAAGCTTTCTCCGAGTTAGATCGTTTAGTTGCTCATATAGCGAAGCATTCAACCGGCGCTATTCTCAGCCAGCAGCAACACGACATGGTTAGTCCGTCGCCTAATCAGCTACAGCATGATTACATTACGCAAATGTCACAGAAGCACGATTTTATGTCATCGAATGCACAAATGGCTCAGAACATTCAGAGTTTTCAAAGTCAAATGCAGCGGCAGATGCAGCAGACTCTCAACCAACAATCTCAATCGAAAGACGTCAAGTTGGAGAAATCGAGATGTAGTATCGATATTGGTGTGCAAAATGTCCCGAACGTTAAGCGGGAACCGTCCGAAATTACATGTAGGGACGAAGGCAACAATATTGCGATAGACAGTCACGAAAACGGTCAATTGGCGCCAATTCAGCCTAGTAATGTGCAACAGCCTCCGATTCCGACAAGCTTCGAACTCGATCTTAGTCACGGTTTTCACTTTCCGAGTCCCGCTGTGATGGCTGCGATGAACCAACAGATCGCCCTAATGAATCAGGCTTTACCGCCATTTCTTCAGCATGGTGGGATGTATGCCGGTGGACCTGGACTGATGTTTGCGCCAGGATTACCACCGACCAATTTTCTCCCACCTGCGAGAGACGAAAATCCTCTAGCTTCACTGGCAGCTAATCTTAATCTGAACAAACGATCTCTCTCACCCCCAGACGTTAATTCGCCGGAAGCCAAGAAGCAAAGACTTCATCATTCAATGCGTATGCTAAAAGACGAGCCTGTACCAGAAGGATATGTCAGGTTCGTACAATTGACCGCGTTCAGTAGAACATTTGTTTTGCAACTGTTGAAAGTTCTCTTTATGTTTCCTAATTGTATTCTATTTTTAGATTTACAGAAATAGTTTTATCTTAGCAAAAAAAAAACTTCCAACGGTTGCAAAATAAATGTTCTGCTGAACGTGGCTATTATTTTGTTAATGATTGGTTGAAAATTGAACTTTATTTTATCGTTACAGATTCAGATTCAACGAGGACTGTAGGTATCCTCATTGCGGCTACAGAGAGCATCAGACTCACTTCCACTGCATGCGTCAGGACTGTGGCTATTCATTTTGTGATAAGACTCGATTTGTGCAACATACCGCAAGGCACGAACGGCTGGATACCTTGATGGGAGGTGATTTTCAGCAGTATCGAGCCAACGTGCCGTGTGGCAGAGCTCAATGCGCGTACACATCATCCCTCGGATCGATGCAAAATAAGGCGTCGCACTTTCATTGTTTAAAGTGCGAGTTCGTATGTACAGACACCAATAAAGTAGTTGCTCATAGGCGGCAACACGCTAAGTTAGATAGCATCGCAGCGGCTGGCTTTCAAAAATTTACACCCAGCCAGCCGTGCGGTGCTGCCCAATGCCAGCATTCCGGAAAACAAACGCACTATCATTGTTTGCAATGCCAATATGCGGTATTGGGCTTGGCGCAAATGTCGGCGCACAAATACCGACATATGGATGTGTAAATTTTTGTAGATTTCTTGAAATTCTGTAATACGCTATACAGCATTAACTTGGTTTTTTGGTCCCTATAATTTTTTCCTAAGAACAATTTCCTAAAGAATGGCATTGCCCATTCTTTTCTCGAAATGGAAAATCGACGAAACCGGTAGGAGACTAGTCAACGACTAGTCAAATCTTGGGAACCGATATTCATGGATTCCGGAAGAATTATATTTTGAAATTCGACTACTATAAATCTCGTAATTCTCGATTAAATTTATTCCATATCAAAGTTTTTGTTTATACGTGGAAGCATTACTGAAGTCTGCAAACATTGCTCGGTATGCGTTTGTTTCTCTAAGTCTTCGTCGTCGCAATTCATTTTACAAGGAAATTTGGGATCACCGAATTAAAAAAAACATTTTTATGTGATATAGTACTCTATCAGGAGAATTTTTGAATTAAAAGGTAGGACCCAACGATTAGCCACTTCTAAGTAAAACTTTTTTTTTAAATGTGACATATATCGACTAATTTATACCGATCAGCGAGAAGGCGCTAAGTACGTGACTATTACGCTACCGTGGGTTTCAATCCCTGTTCCTCAAACTTTTTTCTCATTCCTTACGCAATCTAGTAACAAATGTTTATTCATGTAAAATAAAGTTAAACCAATAATTTTGTTTTTTATTTTAAATTTACATTTTTGAATCTTTTTTTCTAATATACTTGTAAAATTGGATATCATATTTATTTAACCATTTACAATTTTATTACTTTATATTTTTTATATAAGTAAAATAAAGGAGATAAAACGTCATTCTATATTTGAACATAATTATATTACAAAAATCTATCGTTTTGTTCAAATACTCTCCTGGTAGAGAATATACCACTTGAAATCGTTTTTCAATTTAGTGACTCCAAGTCTCCTTGTCAGTGCTTAGATTCTACATACAAAAACAAAAAAAGAAATCGAATCGAGAACGAGGGATGCGAACATCTGGCGTAATATTAAGACAATAATACGAAGATAAGTCTGTAATATAGTATTAGCATAAAAAAAGACAAACTATAATATTTAATAGGAGAAAAAAGATACATTTTTTTTTCTTTGTTGGTGTCATCCTGTTGGTGTACCTTTCGCATAAAGTCCTTACGATAATCTATGTAATAGAATAATTAATATGTCCGTAAAAAATACAGAAAAATAAATAGAAAAATACGAAGTGGCAAGTCGGCGACGCGCCAATCAATTGATACTCCGTGTCAAGAAATGAGTGTATTATATTTGAAATATTTTTATTTGAAAATGGTAAGAACAAAAATTTGTAAGACAATTGTATTTTGTATTTTATATTTCAGTAGAACACATGAAAATGTGTTTTGTATTTGTACTTTATATTTCATGAGAGTATATAAAAGTATTTTGTATTTTGTATCCCAGTATTAATAATGAAAGATTGAAAGTATTTTGTATTTTAAATATTAAGATTGGCAATTAATCTTATTATTTAAATGACAAAATACGTAAATCTTTTAATTTCTCAATTTTAAATACAAAATAGATAATATTTTTATATACGCACCGCTGAAATACTTCGAATATTTTTACATTTTTTAATGAAATATTTATAATTTGTCTAAAAGGAAAAAAAATTTTAATGTGTATAATTTATCGTCGCCGAGAACTTTCCTGATTCTTTATATTTGAAATTTGATTTTATAGAGTATTTTGCAAAAGATTTCTTGGAATTGTATTCAATATTTCACTCAATAATTTATTGATGTGAAATCTGTTTGTGCGTATATATGCTATAAATGACATTGTAAATGGACAATGGTCGAGTATGAATTTAAAATCACAAGAAGATATTCTTTTTACAAACATATGCGTTGTTATTGTCAAAGTCCAAAATCCGGCAAAAATATAAATAATTTCTTTAGTAGAAAAAAATTTCGTCAAATGTCACGTATCAGAAACATTGTAATAAAAAATAGTATTTTATCTCCGAATATATGTTTATATCTGCAGAAAAATATTAATCACATAGTATCAAGAACTGTGAAGTATAATAAATAGTTATAAGATAATTATATAATATCAAAATGAATACTTCGATAAATAATGACAAAATTGTTTATTTAATTAAAAGTCACATCCAAATTGTTTATTTAATTAATAGTCACTCTATAATTATGAAAAAGTTACATCAGTGACATCTTCGACAATACGAACAGTAAAGTTTATGAAATATTAAAATTTAGCAAGTTATATTTAATTCTTATAATTTTTTTACTTCACAGTATTGAATCTGTAAATAGCCAAACTAGACGGATTGATCACAATTATCCTAGGGGAATTGATTTACATTTCGATTGGTTGAGCCCATGAAAGGGAATCGAAGGGATATCAATGTCCTAATAGTTTTCCTAAAGTATAATATTATTATTCTTTTTCAAATATTGTTTTCCGAAAAATTTTCGGAAAATTTGGAAAAAACGGGTTTTTTTCGGTTTTTTTGCCATACTTTTTTAGCCTTTTTTTCTTTATAATAATTTTATTTATATTTAAATTATTAACTTCTTTTAATTTTAACTAACTTTTAAGAACATTTAATTAATTTTTTTTAATTTATAAATAAATTTCTTTTTCTCCTCTCCTCCCCCTCTCTTTCTTTGTGTCTCTTTAATTAATATTCAACGTCTCATAGTAAAGATATTAGTTGAATATATTAATTAATAAAAAGAATACCATACACGTAACGTAAATTTATTTCTTCATTTAATACACACATACAATTTTTTAAAATAATTTAATGCAACATTTTACTATAAAATATAGACGAAAAAGAACGTATATTAAAAGAATATATTTTTTTTTAAATGAAAGAAATTTAATTTTTTTCTCGATTCTATTTTTCAGAAAAAACCGGAAGAAACCCAATATTTTTCCTTGGATTTTATTTTTTTGAAAAATTAAGAATTCTACAATATTACAATAGTAGCATTCCATACCAGTCGATAGTTATCGATCCTGTCCACGTCGACGGTGCATCGTCCTTACGCGGCAGTTTAAAAATCGTAAGAAAAGTTCATTGGTCTCATGGTATCGTGTGTCATATCAGCGATTTAACGCGATATCAAAGCGAATACCAATTCTAGAAGTAAAACAAGAAAAGAAAAAAAGGTATCGTTCTCAGAAGATATGTTCGCATCGGAAACGTGGAGAGGCTAGAGTTCAGCCATTAAATGTGTGCCATAAAACCACGCTGTAAAAATCGATGTACTGTTATTTTAAGTCGAGGACACTTATGCGTGACTATGGAAGATTCAGCATGTGGTCGATAGACAAATCTGTGTAATATTTATTTAGTATTTAGGGTCGAGGGATGCATGAAAAAAACAAAAGAGAGCAAACGGAAAATAGTGAATGAGAATGAGCAAAATTCATTTAATTGAAATATAATGCGACCCTGATGGAAAAGTTTGTCCGAAAGTGTCTGAAATTGTCCGAATTGGTTCTAAATTTTTACAAAAATTGTATTATATAATTTTATCTATTATTATTATTATATTATTAATATTATTACTGTTTAATTTTGTCCGTCACGCTCGCTTTGTAGTCTTCGAATTTACATGGCAAGTATGCGGGCATTACTCTATGTATAATTCTCTATATTATTATTTTTATTATTTGAAGTTTTGCCTATCACATCCACTTTGTAGCTTTCGAACTTACAAGGCGGATGTGTAGGCTGCATTAATAATATTATTATTATTATTAATATTATTATTATTACTATTATTATTATTATTATTATTATATTAATAATTATGAAACCACATCGTATGTAGCTGTGATTTTGCTTTCAAAAAGTAAAAATTAAAAATATTTATAGTGACTGAGATAATATTTTTATATTTATATTCCGTTCAATTATTACCTTTAATCTGCGCTTATTACAATTTTCATTATACACCGCTTTGTTTTTTTTTTTTTTAAGATTGTCTAGAAGATATTGATTAATTAATTAATTATCATGATGAAAAATAATTTATATCCTAAACTTATCGGTGTGTTTTTCAATTTGATCGT